ATATATATATATAGAGAGAGAGAGAGAGAGAGAGAGAGAGAGAGAGAGAGAGAGAAAATGAATACATATTTCAGGCAATAAGGTCATTTTAAACATCTACTATTCTATAGTTCTTTGGAAATAAGAAAAATGTTTTTTAATCAATCCTATGAAGTATATATTTTACCAGTACACTTACTTATGAACTTTATACAGTACATGACAAAAATACAAAACACAAAAATAAAATACTGAACTTGGGTTAGACCCAAGCTCTTTCCAAGCTTCTATCACGAGTGCACACCTAAAAACAAGGTGAAGGATAAACAAAGTATTTCAATTTTAATAATGTGTTGACAACAATGAATCTACATTGACTGACTGAAAAAGTTCAGCACCCAAAGTTCCTTGTTTTCACAAACAGGCCAGTGATGGAAATGAGTCAATTTGCAAAAAGCTGCACCTACTTAACAAAACTAGAGGACAGGTATTAAACAGTTAACAGGTAAATAATGACCAGTATATATACTGACATGCAAAGAACTACTGAGGGTAAATTTTAGGTTAAGGTAAATAAATACTGTATTCGTGTAAATAATGACCAGTGTAAAAAATTACTTGGGTTTAAAATTCCCAAATAACTGACCTAGATAAATTATGACCTATAATGATCCAGATCAATAATAAACTTGTAAATAATGACCAGAGCAAAAATGACTTGGTGTATATTACAAGTTATGTGACTTGCATAAAGGATCAAAACAAATGACTCTGGCAAGCAATTACATGAGTAATCATTAACCAGTGTAAATATTGTAGGCAAATAATTACTTAGTAACAACAGTTCTAGCTCATGTAGTGGAAGTGTGTCTTTACTCAAGATTTCCAGCATTTAATGGAGGTTCTGATCAGATCAGGGTCACAGTGTGGGTTTGCATGAAGCTTTGTGGTTCTGTCATAAAACATTTAGCTTTTATTTTTGGTAATTAGAGTTTTCCTTGTCAGGGAGATGAGAGCTTTCCCAAACCTTTGATTTGGGCCGTTAATCAGTTCCCGTGCCTGTCTACAGTCCGTCAGCTCCCTCCAGAGGATAGAGAGTGGACGTCTAATCCAGGCCTGTAGGGCTGTCCTACAGACTGTTGTTGAGATACCTACAACAGGCTCTGGTCCTTTGAAGTGAGCCTGACTGCCAGATTTTGCAAGGTAGTCAGCTCTCTGGTTACCATCAATGCCAGTATGTCCTGATACCCATTTAACAGGAACACTAAGGGGTGCAACAATACATGTACCCATATCGAACCGTTCAATACATTGCTTTAGGTTCAATACACACTTGTATCGAACAATACGTCCTGAAGTTGCCCTGTGTTGAAGGGTCAGAGGATCTGTGTTCAACTACTCCACCTAGGCTCTATTTTCGAGCACAGATCCACTGGGAAGCTTGCTGTTTCAGCAAAATTTAAGTTTAAATTTAATTTAAAAATAGTACTTTTGAGGTTCAACAAATGTTCATAAATAATTTCAATAAATTACAAGTTAAAAGGGCCATGGAAAATTCTCTTTTTTGTTTCGGAAAAATATTGAACCGTGAGACTAAAGTATCGAACCGATCCGTGAATTTTCTGTATCGTTGCACCCCTAGTAACACTGTTAACTCTCCTCAGTTGGTTGACTGCTTCGGCACACTCCCAAGCCAAAAACGATGTAAAGTGTGGCCCTCTGAGAGCTCTAATAGCAGCTTGGCTCTGTTAGGATGAACATTTCCTTCTGTGTACACTGAAGGTCTTTGAGAGATGCCACACACTGGTGGATTGCATATATCTCAGCTTGAGATACAGTTACAAAACCACCTTGTGGGTATTTATGCTGTCTCTTACTATGGTTGTGTGAAATTATCAGCCCTGCACCTACTGACCCCTTCAGAAGGGATCCATCTGTAAAACAGTAGAAATGATTGGGAGACATGTCCGTCGTACAGAGGTTAATCTAGACAGACCTGTCTTCAATCTCTGTCTTAAAACTTGGCTCAAAATTGTATTTTTGGACCATTCTGTCTCCAGGTCCTGCAGTTACTGGAACAGTCCCAGATTCTAGTGCTCTGAGTCAGATAGGGTTTTTCCACCTACCAGACTGGTGTAGTCTTACTGCACTGGATGCGGCCTCCCCTAAGATATGTAAACCTAGTGGAGCCAGGTCCAGTAGGACTTCCATGGCTGCTGTGGGTGTTGTTCTGATGGAACCTGTGATGCTCAGGCAGGCCATTCATTGCACATAGGTGAGCATCACTCTTGCCACCTCAACTTGGACTGGAACCCACCACACTAAAGCAGCATAGCACAGCATGGGGCGGACTATGGCCATGTAGATCCATCTGATAACCTTTGAGTTAGCACCCCAACGACTACCTGCAATTCTACGGCACTGGTGTAGGCACATTGCTGCCTTACACTTTTCATTTACATGTCTTTTCCAGTTAAGCTTCCTGTCCAGACAGACACCCAAGAATTTAACTGACTCTGACAGGGAGAGTTGTACACCCTCCAACTTTGGAGGTGAGTACCCCTTCCTTGACTTCTTATGAGTGAAAAGAACCAAATTCTGTCTTGTTCGGATTGACAGAAAGTTCCTGCTCCCGGCACCATCTGGATACTATGTTTAGCCCCCTCTGCATTAGGTTACACACAATACCCAGGCAGAAGCCTTCTATAAGTATGATCAAGTCATCTGCATACCCCTGTGTATGGAGTCTAGATCCATTCAACTCATTTAGTAAGCTGTCAACAACAAGGAGCCAACACAAGGGCGAGATTACTCCTCCCTGTGAACAGCCCCATCTGAGGTTAACGGTTATCGAGCAGTCCCCCAGAGTTGAAGATGCTTTCCTTGTCTGAAGCATGAAAATGAGCCAGTTTGTTGTCCCATCCACTCCTTTGCTGGCAAGTGCTCTTTCTATAGCTTCTACAGGAACATTGTCAAATGCCCCCTGTACATCCAAAAAGCAGCCAAGTGCATATTGTCCACGTGCCAGACTGCGTTCTATTCTCAAAACAACATCATGTAAGGCTGTTTCTGTAGAAAGACCTGCCTGATATGCATGTTGTTTAGGACTTAAAGGTGATAGCATTAAGGTGCCATCCCTTACATGTCGATCATCTAATTAATTAAAGATCATCTAATTAAACCAACATGATAAAACTGTCAGTTTTCACTTTCCAAGACCCTCTAATGTGATTTCACCCCACTATTCAAAGATCAGTTGGTCCATATGCAGATGTACAAGATGTTGGCACCAGTTGGTCATAAGCAGCAGCATCATGAGTGGAGCATCAGTGTTATCAGTCTGTCCATCAAGCATCCTAGAACCCCAACGACGTGTCCTCTTTCCTTTTAGACACATTTATTGAACTCTTTCCAGCAGTCTGTCATCCTGCTCTGTCCACAGGTTCACCATCACATGTACAGGGTGCTAACACCTGAATGTGGTGTCATTGTGCTCAGGGATGAATCTTGGTTCGTCACTAAACATAGGGATGACCATTTTGTGCACATATGGCAGCTTTGAGGAGAGAGAACCAGTCCCATCAATAGACACAAGTGTTACTCCTGGCATCTTGGTGGGGGGATTGACAGAGGGCTTAAGGCCATGCTGATCTCATTACTGTATATGATCTAGGATTGTCTCATGATTCACTTTAATTCTTTTATTATTTGTGGGTGCTCAACATCTTGTGTCAGTCTGTTTTTAATTGAATGTAGTTTTTGCACAGAATGCTGACAGTAGGATGACACTGAGAAAGGACTATTTCATGACTCAAGGACATAAAAAATCCTTACAGCATGTTTTACAGCACTTCTTTGAAAGTGCATTTTTTAGAAAAAGAGAGAAAAGTCAGGACATCTCACAGTATGAAATGTCTGCTGAAGATGTGGCCTATGGGGTGCCGTTTGTAAAGTTACGCAGTCAAAAATTACCACCACTATTTTTGTTTTATTTAGACTTTTATAAGAAAAAAAGAACAGATTTATTTTTCAAAGTCAGTTTTTCACCATATGATTCATACATTTATAAATGT